CTAAGCCCTGTTGATTCGCATCAGCACAGGATAGTGCTATCTTAGACCTTTTGTGTTGGAACCAGTTTGTCATAGTCTTTCTGTTGACAGAGATCTGGCTATTAAGTCCAACTAGAAAAAAAAAAGATTAAAATCCATGACTTCTTGCAGATTGAAAACTACTGACCAGTATAGCATCCACTCAGCCATGTGCCGGGCCATTTCATTGTCTTTGAATGTGGACTTTACAGATAATTTTCCAAGTGTATCCACGGGGAGGATGGAAGGGAAAAGGTTGGCAGACTGTAGCCACAGAGAATGTTTAAGGGTCTCATTAAAAGGAAAGTAAAAGGAGTAAGAACAGAGTTAGGCTTATGGCATTATAGGTCTTCTGGGACAGCGGAAACGCTGAAATCTGCAAATATGTAAGAGACAGCAGAGGACGAGAGTTGAGTTTACTAAAAGAAAGTGTCTGAAAGCAGAATGGACTTCAGCAAGGGTGGAGCATACACTCTCAGGGGAAAGCCCACTGCCCGGATCTCTTCGAAGTAATTTATAAATAGATGTATACAAGGCACCACCATATACAAAAATATCCCTTAATATCCAAACACAGCATTTGTGTGTGTATAAAAATCTCTAAATACAGCATGAATTCATATAGTGACAGAATACAGTGATGTTTCTGATGGGAAAAGTTCACGTTGCTTCTCAAAGTCTTGTTCTTGGACCTTCAACATCTGCAGCACTTGGGAGATCCTTAAGCCCCATCCCCCCAAACCTCCTCAATCAGAAACCCCAGTGGTCCCAGCATGACATTCTATGTGATTCTGACTCCTTCTAAACCATAAGGCTCATTACAGTAAGGGAGATGTGGTTGTGCCGTGTGTGTGTGTGTGTGTGTGTGTGTGTGTGTGTGTGTGTGTGTGTGTATGTATGTGTGTAACAATATTTTTGTGCTCATCATCTGTTTATCCTGAAAGCTTTGATAGACAGTCTGAGTAGCTAACCTGCCTGGAATTAGCCCATAAGGGAAACCTGGATTTGTGTGCCTCTAAGTCTCTGTCTCTCTTTGAAGCGCCCTCTGCAATCAGAAAGGCAAGGGCGCTCATTCTGGTTCGGGGGGTAACTAGTCCAGTTTCATCTTGTCCTAGTCCAACACTGTGTGGTGGACAGAATCCTGAGCTACCAGGAATGCCCTTCAAGATCCCTATCTCAGGGACAAGAAAGAAGAGGGCATTTGGGTATGGAAGGAATATGTTCTAAGTACATTCTGTATTTGCTCGCAAAGGAGCTTATGCAATCCTGTATCATGAAGAGAAAAAAAATAGAAAAAAAAATCCTAAATTTCAAGGCCTTAAAAACATCCCATTTCCTGCTTATCTAATCAGCTTTGACTTAGATATAGAGGTGAAATGAATTTGTAAATGTCATTCAAGTTCCCCAGTCAGCTAACTTGAGGGGAAGGCGGTTCCTTGGATGGGCTGGGCCCAGTCTTGTGAGTTGAAGAGCAGAGATCATGCTCCAGCTGGCGATAGAGGGCAAATGAGAGAGGTTTGAAGGCAAGGACTCATTATGTTGCTGCTAACTTGGCAGATGGAGGTAGTCACATGAGAAAGAACACAGAAGTGGGACCTCAGTCCTCCAATCTCCGGGAACCGGATTCGTACAGCAACCCCAGTGAGTTTGAAAAGTCGGAGAATGGAGCCTCAGCTTGACTGGTGCCTTGGTTTTTGTTTATACTCGAAGCCCAGAGCCCAACTATGCTGGAACTGACGTCAGGGTTATTAAATTATTAACTATTAGACAGGTAGTGTTCATTTGTGGTGAGTTACATGAAGCAGCAGGAAAGAAATACAACTCAAAAGAGAATATCACAACTGGAATACGGAGTTCAAGCTTTTGGATTGACAAGCTATCCAGTCACTTAGGACTGTGTGGAAACACATGGAAACAGAGTGGGTGGGCCCCTGGGGGGAAATACAGCTCAGCAAAGAAGACAAAGAACCTTGGAAGGAAAAGGAAACCCAGTGAACTAATGGTTAGATTAGAGATGGCATTGCAAACCAGAGAGAGGTCAGAATTCCAGAGGCTTCGGGCAAAGGGGTCACTGACGCAACTCACGCTGTGGCTTGACAAGGACTGTGTAACCAGCTGATGACTCAGAACCACGCCCTTAAGACACCCCGTAATTCAAAGGCATTGCCGAGGCCGTGGAACTTGATTCTTTATTTCTGTTGGGAAAAATTTTAGATGCCAAAGAACGATATACAAATCCAAGGTTAATTTCTGAGTCAACAACTAGACTCCCATCTGGTACTGCCTCTCGGTTCTGTGGCACTTTCTGCGTTAGAGCAAGCCTTCAACATGGAGAAGGGGTAGCATGTCTAGCCATGGAGACTAGAGCAGTCACGCCGTGAGTGCCTCTGGTGGATGAATTCAAGGCAGAACCCGATGGCCTTTGCTCCACGGCCAGCCACAGTGTTGTTGCAAAGGCAAACACAATTAGCAAGCGGGGCATGCACTTCCATGGAGCCTCAACCCTGCTTAACAGATCAGAAAGCAGAACCCTGGAACAGGATAGGTGGTGCTGGCGAGGCTTTTGTCTGGCAACAAAGGGGCTAGAGTGACCAGGCTGGAAGACAGGAAAGGAGAGAGGTCTGAGAGTCACATAAACTGAGCTGTATATCCTTTTGTGCGTGCACTAACATATGTTTACATGTGCACGTGTGCACACACACAGTGTCTGGACCAGCTACATCACTCCTCAAAAGTCTATATGATTTTGTTTATTAAATAAATGATGGTTTATTATCCCCCGTAGAAACCCCCCTTTCACCCCTAAGGAACTAAACAGAATATTAGTCTGCAAAAGAACCTTTGGCTCAGATGGGGAGAGAAGTCACCCACCGTTTGCTATCTGTTTCTGTGGCAACCAAAAATAAATATTGATACTGCGTTAATGGTCTGTGTCTCACTTAAGCTCCATTAAACTTGGAGCACTTGCAAGAAAACAGCCCATTGATGGCTCAGCCGAGGGAGGAGGAAGAGGTTTTATAAAAAGCAACAGTGTGGAAGGCACATGGGGCGCAAGTGAGACTTCTAAGCACTTCTCAACCAGCAAGCTCTTTATAGAATTCTTCCAACCGAGAAGACCACTTAGGTGCTGGCGAAGTTGCCAGCTGAGATGGCAGGCCCTGGATGAATGGGTTCCTGTGGACTTGTCCCTTTTACATAAAGAATAGTTTGTGTGTTTTGGAAAGCTTACTTGCAGAAAACATTTTCCAGGAACACAGATGCCCAGCGCACAGTGATCAGATGAACTGAACATCCAAATCACATGATTTCTTTCTCTTCTATTTTTCTCTAAGTATTTCAAGTATAGACATTGGGGGTCAGCATTGTTGCCTTTCATATTTATAATCCTGCTTTTAAGGAACAAACTATTTTGATTTATTGAGTGAAAGTATTTTACAGCTTTAAGTAATGCTACTCCTTGGAATGAGGAACATCACAGTCTGCTTAATTTACACTAGGGATGTTAGGAGTATTTAATGGCATGTAAACATTTTATGAGGTAAGTTCAAATTGCAGGTGATATTTAATGTACATTAGCAAAATGGACCACAAACAGATTCAACTTCTTATTTATTGGCTCAGTCTTTCTTACAGCATCAAAAGTGAGCTGAGTCTTAAAAGGTGTTAAGACTTTTCAGTACCATTTGTGACACTGGCCACAATAGATATATCTGCCTTTAAAAGCAGCATGTGAATTAGCTCCAGAATCAGCAAGACTACAAGCTTTCAAATTAGATTTTTATCATATGGCTCTGGGGCACCATCAGATACAGGTACTGTGTCCTTGGCCCTGGCAGAGCTTGGTATCAGAGGACCACCAGGATAGCTACCGGGAGAGAAGATGTTTCAGAGATGTGGGCTTCTCATTAGAGAAATCACTGGGACACACCTTCATCAGTGGAGTGGAGAATTAGGGACTATCATCAAGCTAGACCTGAGATGTCTCACTTATCATGAAGAGTGTACGATGCTGTGAAGGGTAGCCTGTGCTTCCTGCTTCCCTAGAATGACTTAAAGAACACCATCCACCTGCCGCCCTTATCAGATGTATCAGAGGGGCGGGACTGCAGCAGGACTTGAGGATACTGTTAGCATTGAAGGTGCAGGACAAGTTGGTGAGCAGCTTGTGCAGATGTGAGTGTCCATCTGGAGAAAGGTTTATAATGAAGAGCAGCTCTTGGTCACTTTGTGTGGTGAAGAGGATGCAGCCAGCTCCGAGGACAGTAGGGCCGAGAGAGACATCACAAGGGCACTATAGCAAGTCTGGATTTCTCTATGAAAGTCTTTACCTTTACTCCTGGGCACCCAAGTTCTCTGAGCCAATGCATCCCGTATTTGACCTTTGTATGGTGCATTTAGTCAGGACTTGTTAGCTGTCATCCACACAGAACAATCCCATAGGCCATCAGTGAGAAAGGGTGGGAAGTCAGTTCCTGGAGTACTAAGGGTTACTCACGGGAGACACTTGTTGCATTAGAGGCCACACACTCTTGTCCCGGCCCTCATTTCTCCCCGTGTCCTGTGAAAAACAAGTAAATCCTGGCACTTCTCTCAGGCAGTGACTCGGCTTTCTCTAGCCTTCTTGAGTCTGTTGCTGGCTCAGACACTGATCTTCAGCTTCCGTTGGTCCCTCTGAGCAGTTGTCTCAACTATAACAAACTTTACACCAAACAGTATGCACGCATCTGTGTTTCTTCTCTAAACCTTTTCCGTGCATGCTTCCTGCTTGCCCAGTGAAGGAAGTAATTCAGTCACCATTTCAAAAACGAAGAGATGAAGCCAACCTTCTAACATTGGTGAAGGGCGGTGAGTGGGAGTGGAGTGTGGGGATATTGTGTTCCCCAAAATATTGTGCACCCTAATAAACTTATCTGGGGTCAGAGAACAGAACAGCCACTAGATACAGAGGCCAGAAAATGGTGGCACTCACACTTTTTTTTTTTTAAATGCAACATACAAACTTTATTTAACAAAAGTAACAGGTAAAGTAAAACAGGCACTACTTATATTAAGAAAAAAACTACAAGAAAATTTATCTTTAACAACTTAAAATAACCTACTTGCAGTTGCATTGAACTGAGCTCTGTTGCTGTGAAGAATACAGCTCATGCACAGGTATGATGAAAGATTTGTACATTTTTCAAGTATTCACTGAATACTACCATATATACACATATACATTAAATTTGAAAAAGATTAGGTGATCCCAGCTGTACTTCATTTTTGTTGCTCTTTTGGAAGAGGTCGTCTAAAGAGAAGAATATGCGGTTCTGGCTCATGAATCATGTAATGAACCCAACCTAGACTCTGTTGGACACCAAGTCTCCTCCACTCCTCTTCAGACATTAGATGAGTTTTTGGTACTTGTTTGGAGAGTTCTCTGGGTAACATGACATGCCGGTACTCGTAGTGCTCGTCGAAGTACTTGTCCGAGTAGTAGATCTGCTTGTGGGCCATCCTGCCGGTGCGCGGAGGAGAAAACAGGAGCAGGGAACGGGGCGCAAGGAGCTCCACGTCCGCCTAGGGCCGGCGCAACGACTCCCGGCACTCACACTTTTAATCCTAGCATTCCAGAGGCAGAGATCTGCCTGGATCTCTGTGAGTTCAAGGCCACACTGGAAACAGCCAGGTGTGGTAACAAGATCCTTTAATCCCAGGAAGTGATGGCAGAAAGCAGAAAGGTATATAAGGCCTGAGGACCTGGAACTAGGCTGGTTAAGCTTTTAGGCTTTGAGCAGCACAGTTCAGCTGAGACCCATTTGGATGAGGACTCAGAAGCTTCCAGTCTGAGGAAACAGGATCAGCTGAGGAATTGGCAAGGTGAGGTGGCTGTGCTTTGTTCTGCTTCTCTGATCTTCCAGAATTCACCCCAATACCTGGCTTCAGGTTTGATTTTATTAATAAGACCTGTTAAGATTCCTGCTACAGTGGAGGATGGGAGTAAGGGGTGGAGGTGGGGTAGCTTGAGCAAAGGGTGGTGTTAGCCTTTCCAAGCCCTGATAAGGATATGCTAACAGGTCTCTCCAACGCCCTTTTCCCAGCTATCTCGTGAAGGCCCTCACAACATCACGTCATCCTCTGTGTTCTACAAATTGGGAGACTGGAGCCCAGAGATGAGCTACTTAGGTTCATCAGAACATATACCTAGGTCTTTCTAGTCAACAAATGCTATTCTACTTTGTCATTACTAGGAAAGTGGACAGGTCAGCATGACAAAGTCCACTCACCTAGTAAGTCACCCTAACTGGCCATTTATTGAAAATGCCAGTGAGTGGTCTTTTAGGTTTCATCAATGAACTACATGCATAGAAGCAAAGCAGACCCAGGGAAGACAAATGTTAAAATGAATGACGTATTGATAGGACATTAGATAGTACTCCCCCCACCCCACCCCACCACTCATGCCTTGGCTTTTCAGTTTCAGTTATCTGTGATCACTATTATCTGAAAATATTCAGCAAAAAATTACAGAAATCAAGAGCTCATAATGCTAAAAGTGTTCATCTAGAGTGGCAGGATGCCTCCTCATATGGCTCCCAGCCAGGAATGTAAACCATTCTTTTGTTTAGGGTGTGTAGACCATGTATATCACCTGCCTGTCAGTCACATAGAGGTCATGTCCGATGTCAGACTGATTGTATGACATCACATTGCTTGTGTTTATGTGACCCCCATACAGTGTGTAGCCTGATACCACATCACAGTGCCTATGCCTTCCACCTCAGTGCATTTCAGTATGTAGATATCATGCTACCACACAATCCCAGAGAGTACAACACACAAAGACAGCATTTTATTGGGGTATTTTCCTATAATTTTCTATTTTATTTTTAGTTATTAATCATCCACCATGTCTAATTTATAAATTAAACTTCACCATGGCTATGCAGCTATAGGAAAGACATAACACACATAGGGCTTGGTGCTGTCTATGGTTTCAGACATTTGCCCAGGGTGTTGGAGTCCCTTGCAGATATGTAGATAGCATAGAGCAACAGAAGAGCAGAGGTGTGTGGTGGAGAGGGAGGATGCTGGGACAGTTATGGAAGGGCAGTTATGGACAGTTAAGGGAAGTGATGTTTAAGGTGAAGCTGAAAGAATTGCACTGTATCTAATCCTAGGTAGGGTTCTAGAGGCTTCTTCACGTGCATTTTCTTTCTTGGCTTTGCTTTACAGGTCAAAATGATCCTATGTGTAATCCTTCCTCCATTTTGAGTTTCTCAGACTTGCTCCTTATTTGGGCTTCAGGAAACACTTTGATGTGTGGCTGTCAAGGCTTTTGCCTGGGTACCCTGCTTCAGACTGGTCTAAGTGCATCCAAAATCGGAACTCAAACTAGGAGACCATTAGCAGTCATGTAATTAGCACTGTTGAAGACATAATGCATATGGAAAGAGAAGTACAAATGCCAGCTATGGAATTTATGTAGTGTGCACATCCAGTGAGTGGGTGAATTATTGTGTTTCTCCAATGCTCTGATCGAGTTAAAACGGAACAGAGACGGGCAATCTGTCTGTCTGTCTCACCACACCCTCCAAGGAGAAGGTAAACCAGGCAATTTATAGCTCTGTATTTGGCCACTGACTCAATCTGGAAGGAGATAATGAGTTTGTGTTTGCATGTGTAAACATCTCCTATTCAGGACATGGTGTGCCCTAGAAGGAAGCAGAATGCTATCACATATGTTCTTTATCTAGGCACGCCTGCTCTGGAGAGGATTTACTTTGGTCAAGACCTGTGTGACATGGGATGTGTATGGTCAGTGGGCTCCTGCTTTATCCCCACTGGTTTCCTCCGGTATAAAATGACAGTGGAGTGGAAGGATACATGTTTTTCTTATGTTCTCACCACCAGATCTCTCAAAACAGGCTGTAAGTTCATACAGGCTACAAGGCAGATCAGCTGTGTGGGCAATCCCTTGGGACCCTCAGCACCCTGGTACACAGAAGATGCTTCCTGGCTTTTCTGTTGCAAAGTCTATTTCACTACCAGAAGCCACGTCTCAAAGCCCAGATAATCAATTCACTTATTAAGGAAAATAAAATCCAATTTCAGAAATGTCTAGAAAGCAAATGTCTAGTCACTTAAAATTGGGGAAAGCTTACTATTGTCTTATGAAATCAGGTGAATTTTTCTTTCTCTGAGCAAAGAGTTTCACTAGATCTGGTTAACAACTGGGGATGAATTTTGCCCCACAAAGGGCATTCTGAAGACATGTTTATTGTCACAACAGAAGGTTGCTAGAGGGTGAAGAGTGGTCAAGGATGTTGGTAATTATCTTACAATGCTCAAGACAGTCACCATGACAACCGAAAAGGATCTGGTCCAAAATATCGATGGTGTAAAGGCCGTATTATGGGTTCAAAGAAAAAGAGGATTGTGCCTTAGGTGCTTGGATTCTAGTAGTATGGTCAAATAGCCACTTTTCTGTTCCAGCACTTGGGGCCATGGACATCAGAACGAAAGTACGATCTGGCCATGGCCACAGGAATGAGGAACGAAGGAACAAAGCTAGGGATTGTGTTGATTAGGTCATGAATGGTGGGACTGAAAGGTGGACCCTTGACACCATGTCTAGAAAATTATGGTGAGATCTAACTGTCCCTTTCACTGGACAAAATGAACAGACAGCAGAACGCAATGAATTAAATTCAGAATTGGACAATTTAGTGTTTTCTCAGGACTTGATCTGGAACTGTAAACATGCACTTTATATATTTTAGTATATACATATATACCGATATATATGATATAAACATACATGTAATATAATATACATATATAATATAAATATAAAAATATACATTAATCAACTACCCAATAAGTGTATCCTAGTATCAGTAACACAACAGCCTTTGTGAATGGAACATAAATAGTTACTAAGTGAGAAACTGGTGACCACTTACTTCATGCTGAACCCATAACATAACTGCTCTTTGCTCATTTCACAGATAAGAAAACTAAGACATGGAGAGTGAAGGCAGAACCCCAGATCATGGCAGCTGCTCAACCTGGTTCCAGAGTTAATCCATGTTCTTCTTGACTCCCTGGTCCTGCTTTCTTCCTACGGATGAAGTGGCCTGTGCAAAAGAAGGGCAAGCAGACTGAAGGCCACATCTGTACCTGTGCACGGCTCCATCCCTGCTGTGTTGGCTGGGCTCCTCCACTCACGGAAAAGAAAAGGGGAGAAAGACAAAACTCCAGGACATCCTGGTTTCCAAGTCCCCAAAAGATTCAGCCAGAGGTGGCAGAGAGACCCAATCCTCCATTGTCCATTAAGCCTCTAAAACTTCTCCTAGTAAATCTCTAGACTTGGGTTTACCCCCTTCCTTAGCACACCACTTTCTGTCTCATAGGAATTGCCACACATCAATGGTAATAGAATGTGTCAGGGACAGTGGTCACATCTAGAACCAGGAAGCACGGGTGTGATGGTGACAGCAAGGGACAGAAGGGAAGAAACCTTTAAGGGCACTAACTCACCAGCGGAAGGATATCCTGCTATGTTCTGCCTAAGTCTGTTCGGAACACCCCCAGTACCAGCACTTTGGGATCCAAGCTTTTCCATATGGATCTTTGAGCCCACTCTCATCCAAACCACAGTGTCAAAGTTGTTGCTAATAGGAAATTAGGAGAATATAGTAGAAGTGAAATTGTTGGAGCAATGCTTGGTGTGCAGAGAAAATTGTTGAGAGCTCTGGGGTCCTTATTGGCTGCTTTTCTTGTTCAGAAATTCCTTGGGACCATCATGAGCATCTTGTATCTTAGATAGCTTTGGATTTGTAATAGTTGCTTATATACAATGATAGATCTTTGGAAGTGGACCCAAATCTAAGCATGAAATGCATGATTGTTTGATCAATACCTTATACACACAGGCTAAAAGTAATTTATACAGTGTGTTTAGTGTGGCTGTATTACGACTGTGACCTGTCACATGGGATTGGGTGTGGGCTTTTCAACTTGGAGGTGCTGTTGGATGAGCGTTCAGTAAGTTTCAGGTGCTGGACTACTTTAGATTATGCATTTTGGGAGTAAGGATGTTCAACCAGTATTACTACAAAATGTTCACCAGAACCATCTGGTTAGAATACGGAGACAAACCGCAGGAACCGATTATAAAATGGAAATGATGGGAGTAGGCCTAGGACACCCAACAGGAATTTCTGTTAGCCACGGTAGAATGAAAAGTGCACACTGGTTCCAGACATCAAAGCGATACTGTTAATAACGCTACAACAACGACTACAAGTATCTCTGTGTTGCGTAGCTCAACCACCAGTTTATAGCCACTCCTCTAATCCAATCTTCACTGTAGTTAGGAGGAAAGAAAGACCGACCACCTGAGAGAGGGAGTTAATGACAGAATCGGGAGAGAGATGCAGGGGGCCCAGCGTTACATCACTTCCTTCCACAGCCACCTCTTAAAATTATGAAATCTCTGTCACTCACATCTTCTCTTTAAAACCAAGGGTGGGAAAATCTGTGTATGAACCCAGAGAAACAAGTAAGGTGAGCAGGCGTCACTGAGGCAGG